GAAACACTGCAGTTGTGAAACTGTGTTTTTGACATTAACAGAATATCGACAAAGTTTTGTGCACATTTGTAATGGAAACACAGCTACTGACTGGTGGCAGGATGGTGTGGCTGAGGTCAGGTCATCCCTCACCATTTGCACACTGTTAGCTCTAAATCAAATGATCTGATCTGCACCATAGTTTGTTTGGACCATGAAGGAGACGTGTTCAACATGTTTATAGTAGTTTGAWAAGATCAGCTGTCTAACTGTGGCTCTGTCCAACCGTTGACCTGATGAGAGGATGAATGAAGGCCTGTGAGTCCAACAGTTGTCACTACTGAAGGGTGAAGAGGAACATCAGCGACAGTTTGTCCTGTTCTGTCTCGTCATAAATCAGTTTGTGAGAATGAACTTGCACAGCCAAGGCACAAGTTATTTACAAAATCAGCATCCAGACTTCACTGTAGTAAAGTTAATAAAACAGTGTGTGTGTGTGTGTGTGTGTGTGTGTGTGTGTGTGCGTGTGTGTGTGTGTGTGTGTTTGTACTTGACAGTGTTGTTTGTTTGTTTCCAGCTGATGGAGTGGCACTGGGAGCTGCTGCCTCCACTTCTCAGACCAGTGTTCAGCTCATTGTTTTTGTAGCCATTATGCTGCATAAGGTAATAAATAAATACACTGCAGTCAGTGTTGGTGTGTGAYTGTCAGATTGTGTGCAGGTGCACAGTGGTTGACTGCTGTCTTGTCCACAGGCTCCTGCAGCCTTCGGTCTGGTATCGTTCCTGATGCATGCTGGTCTGGAGAGGAACCGCATCCGTAAACACCTGCTGGTCTTTGCTTTAGCAGCACCTCTTCTTGCAATGATTACATTTTTAGGTCTCAGTCAGGTAATTCCTATTTTATTCTTTGAATGTGAACATCGTGACTTTATTTTTTACTTTTAATTATAGAAACAGTGAATCTTAATGAAATTAAAGATAAAATAAAAGCCCAGCCTTCTCTAAATGAATGTATATATCCCACCTCCAGTTCATGTAGAGGTTAAACATCATCTCATATTGAGGGTTTGTGTCAGCCATTAAAAATGTTAAAATTTAATATGATTCAAGATCACATGAAATGGGTTGGACTCACTCCCAGCTGTAGGGGTTTTGGGTATATTCTAAAATGGATAATTTGTGAATTATTTAAATACGTGAATTATCTGACCTCGAGGCACCACACTCTTAATTTGATCAAAAACTAACCCAGGAAAGAGACGAAAACCTTTAACTTTATTGTAATCAGTCTCACAATAAATGTACCCAAAATGGTTTTATGAGTTCTTGTCCTTATCAGAACCAATAATACTTTATCAAGACACAAAAGTGACATTAACTTATGTTGGCACGTTCTCCACGGGCCATTTATTTACAGATTAAATGTATTTACAATTGTGGTGAGTAAGAAGTGATGACATGTTGAACCAGGTAAAACTGACAGTTTGCAATCACAGGTGAATAAACAAACAAACAAATAAAATAAACCCTGAGAGGTGAGTTTGAGGTTTGGAGTGAGGTGAGGTGAGTTTTGCTTTGAGCTGAGGATTTAACTAAGGGGGTTCTAGTTAAATTAGGGAGAAAAATTGTTTAGTTTACCAAATCTCATACAAAGATAAGAATCAAATTACATCTGAGCACCTGTTTGTCACCAGAACAAATGTTCACTTTTACACTTTTGTTCTGCCATGTGGGTACCAGGAGGGG